TGCTGAAGAAAAGTACATGGTTGGCCGTTGGAACGACTACTTTTGCAGTTTTTACAAGCCGTGGGTCAAAGCCGTTTGCAAGCCTGCATAATGGTTAGAGCGCTTTGCCATAAGGAATCCCTTGTAGAGAGACCCGTTCTACGTGCTGCTCTGCTTGAAAAGGAATACCTAAATCTAGTTGGAAAGAATAGTGGGGACAATGGGTTTGGGCCTCGCTTCTACACTTTGGGAATTTGAGAATTTGAGAATGGCTTGTAGTATTTTCAGGACGTGGGCTCATACGTTAATGAGGATGGCGCTGTGTTTTATTTACATAACTTCTTCCCTAATTAGGGGCTCTTTTTACTTAATGATAGTGCACAAGAACACATGCCGTTCCCGGCATTCGTCTCCTAAAGTCCAAGTCCATATGATTTGTCTCGTAACACCGTGAGCCTCGCGACGCAGGAATTGGCCATAATTCATTAAGCCATGAAAGTTCACAAACAACCACACACATTTCACAAAGCACAATACATAACAACAACAAATAACTACCTATCAAAACAAACCTCAAAACCCCACCAACCCCTCTCCATCCTCCCTCCAAAAATAGATCACAGCCATAAACACAAATACAAACCCCACACATATATTACACCATTTAAACACAGACTCAACAATTCCCCAAAGCAGAGAACTTTGTGAGATGGGAAATGATTGGAATCTGCATTTCATAAATCTATTAGCAGTTTGAGAACTGGCGCTTTAGAAACAACATCGACAGGAACATTCTTTTCCGGTAATTATAGCAGACTCTATGTCGCGATCGGTATAGGCGTTCATCCCCAGCATTTCAGATTTCGAGGTGACGTCCTGGCCTCTGTCGATGTAGATATTGGAAGCCTGGAGGAACGAAGGCAGAAAATCAGAGAAAATTCAAAATAATAAAGGGATAGACCATTGACAAATTAAAACAACTTGTGGTAACAAAACTGCAGTTCGAAAGGCGGCAGTAGGTCTATTGGCTCGCTAACGAAGTTATACGAGGTAGTTGTCAGGTGATGCGAAACGCCTAGACCTCAGGTGAGCTGGCCTAAGCTGAATTGACCGGCCCCACCAAGGCACTTACACGGTGACGCTATTATCCAGCCCCTGTGCCTCTATTACTCTAGCTTCTGTTTCTATGCATCGTAAGGGTGTTTTACTGTCCTCTTTCCATGCGTTTGCTTCGGTTTCAGGACGATGGGGAGTTCAGCCTTGTCAACTTTTATGACGAGAAGACGATCCCACCTTATGCCATCCTCTCGCACACATGGGAGAAAGGTCATGAGGTTTTATTCCAAGACATTCAGAACGGTACCGGCAAGGACAAGAAGGGGCACAAAAAGATCAAATTTTGCGAGAAGCGAATAAGAACGGATGACCTCCAATATTGCTGGATAGACACCTGCTGTATCGACAAATCTAGTAGCTCTGAGGAAACAAAGTCAATCAACTCAATGTATAGATGGTATCAGAAGGCATCCAAGTGTTACGTCTACCTAGCGGACGTCTCAGTCGAATCTTCCCGGCACGACAACGAGTCTCTAGACGATCTTCTGTTTGAGACAGCATTGAGGCAGAGTCGATGGTTCTCTCGAGGTTGGACGCTGCAAGAGCTTCTTGCTCCTCCAGTAGTTGAATTCTTTAGCTCCGAGGGAAAGTTCCTAGGTGATAAAAGATCGTTAGAACTCCAAATACACGGCATTACGGGTATCTCGATCAGAGCACTTCAGGGACGGCCAATGTCTGAATTCAACATTCCAGAGCGAATATCATGGGCAGCAAAACGCCAGACAACGGTTGAGGAGGATCAAGTCTACTGCCTGTTAGGCATCTTTGAAGTCTACATGCCAGTCATATACGGCGAAGGCCTGGATCATGCATTCAAACGACTTCGGAAGGAACTTTCCGCATGTTAGTACTCAATTCTCGTTGATTACGACTTGGTCTTCCACCGCTCTCCAACACAGGGCACTCGATCCCAGCAGAATTCAAAAGAGCAATGTGGACTAATTCAAAGATGTAAGACGCTCCTCGGCTCACGGAGCCTCTTGAGTCGAATGAAACAGAGGCATGTCTGGCCAATCTCTCTGCAACAGATCAAAAGCAATTCTTGGATCAAATGCTGCGTCGCTCCAGAAACTCATGCGCTTGGATCTTCAGCAATAATAAGTTCACCGCCTGGTATGATGCCAACCGACCTTCCCTTCTCTCCATTGCCGGAAAGGCTGGTTGTGGCAAGACCACTTTAGCAGCCAATATCATCCACGCAATATTTCAGGACCAAAGCCACACAAAAGAGGAAAACCATGGGAGCGAAATTAAGGCTGTTGTGCTATCCTTCTTCTTCCGGGACTCCAACCAGGAAGCCGAAAATACAGGTCTTGCCGCTCTGAGGACATTGACCAGCCAGCTAGTTCTTCAAGTGCCCTGCATTTTTCCGACGCTCCTCAAACGGCATAGAAGGTTGTCTGCTAAAGGCGCTTTCGAATGGTCATGGGAAACTCTATCAGTCTTACTAAGCGAAATGTTGGAGCAGACTCCGCTCAGTTCAAGGGTGTTCCTTATCCTCGATGCGATTGATGAATGCGAGAAAAAGTCCCGAAATCTGATTCTGGGATGGGTCAAAATGCTAGCTGATGAAACTTCCTCCTCTAACTGGAGAACAGCAAACACAGCTTTAAAAGTCCTGATCACAAACAGACCAGATTCCGACATACATGATCAACTCTACCACTTTCCAATCCTCGCCATAAGTGAAATGGATACCAAAAGCGACATTCGAGGGCTCATTCGAAGCCGAATGGAAGAGTTCACGCGGCGTCGCAATCTCGATCCTACCGTCACACAAGGGATCATTCGATACATGGAGTCACACGCTCAAGGGATGTTTCTGTGGGTTGTTCTCATCCTGGAAGAGCTGGAACGTCGAGATCAACGGCTCAGCGACGAAGCAATTCTATATAAGCTCTCAAGTATTCCACTGTCTCTCGACAATACCTATAGAGCTATTCTACACAACATCATTCCAACGCGAAAAGAAGATATGTGGAGAATCATCCGCTGGCTACTTTATGGATCCCGTAGTCTCACTCTTGCTGAATTGGAGGTAGCTTTATGTTTGGAGACGGGTGCCTCGAGCTGGTATGGTTTTGCTGCAGATGTCGAGTTTCTTTTAGGATCCCTTATCCGGATTGAAGGTCCGCGGAAAGAGGTCAATTTTGTGCACCAGACGGCTCGCGGGTTTCTGGAGGCTTTCGCGCATAACGCGGCTTCGGAAGAAGTTGCAGGACTCGCTATGGACACCACCTCAGCCAGCGACCACCTAGCGAATATTTGCATTCAGTATCTGCTCCATAACCCGGACTTCGCGCAGCTTCATTGGCAGCTCCGGTGGGTGACAGGGTACGCCGCTTATGCTGATACCATTCAAGAATTCCTTCGGCAGCGTCCCTTCATTCGATACGCTGTGGAAAGCTGGGCGCTCCATACTCGAGCAGCATTAACGCCTTCCCCTGCTCTTTTTAGCCGTGTTTGTAGACTACTATCCTTACCGGACAATGGAAACAGCCTCCTTGCCCTAGAATTCTTTATCAGAAAGCACGGAAGCTGGGCGGTGCCGGAGGATCCGACGCCTCTTCACCTGACAGCATACTTCAACTTGCCCCGGTTTACGGAATTTTTCGTCTCTCAACATGATGGTTCAGTAGATGTAGAGAATACGATGGAGGATACACCCCTAGTATGGGCTGCAGAGATGGGAAGCACAGAGTGCGTAAAGATCTTGATTAGGGCTGGTGCTGATCCGAACTATTATGAAGCTGATGATTGGTCTGCATTACATTGGGCTGCAAGAAATGGCCACACAGATGTAGCAATTTTGTTGATGGAGAATGGAGCGAGTGTGACCCATACAGATAGTAGAGGCCATACACCGTTAGACTGGGCGCTCGATAGGGGATTCATGAGCGTTGCAGCCGCCATTTGGCGGCAGATAGATAAGGAAAGGCCCGGAGAGCAAAGCAGTCCTCCAGGGGAGAGAGAACAGATGGGAAAGGAAATGGATACACTCATCGTCCAGAATGCATGGCGGCTATGGGATTACAGGCCATGAAATAGCAGGTGGAGTGAAAGGATTGCGACTTGGTAATTTTACGACGCACCAAACCTTCTTGAGATTCAGTGTCCTCGTGTGATAGGATATATATAATTTTGGGTGCGACTACAATAGGGTGCGCCTTTGGCTACAATAGCCGAGTCATTCGATCAAAGCGCAATGGCACTTCTGCTCAAGCGTTGAGGAGACGAGGTCAAGATTACCAAAGGAGTGCTTCAAAATATGATGCGCAAGGCGAGTTTCCTAATTAGGAAGGTCCTAAAAGGCCATCAACCACTGTCCACATAAACTGAACCTTCCTAATTAGGTAGGATCTTTGAAGACCGTCGGTCCTCTTGCTCCACACAAACTGAACCTTCCTAATTAGGTAGGATCTTTGAAACCCGTCGTTACTCTACCTCCACACAAACTGAACCTTCCCGATTAGGTAAGTTCTTTGAAGACCGTCGTTCCTCTACCTTCACACAAACTGAACCTTCCTAATTTGGTAGGATTTTTGAAGACCGTCGGTCCTCTACCTTCACACAAATTTTAACCCCCCGCCCCGCCCCCAAGATTGCTGCAGGCTTTTTGACCCACCTCAACGCGCATGCACTAACCCTTTCGTAGAAATTTCACAATATATTGGAATACTCGCGCCACGCCAGCCTTTCTCTGAAATACTTGTAGGCTGGCGTGGCGTGGAAGAACTGTACCTTCTTATACAATAAATAATACTTGCGCACATGTCTGACAATAAAAAAGGGCGTAAAGATTTGCCGAACCCATCCATCCCCGTTCTTCTTAACGTTCCGTTCCGCATCTAGCCAGTATGCGATGCTTACTTAGAAAAAAAAAGAACCAAAACACGAAAAAAAACAGCGCCGAACCAGAGTCGAACTGGTGACTTCGGGAAGGCGGTTTTGGTTTCACTGCAGTCCTACACTCTACCACTGAGTTACCGGCGCGCCGTTATCAGATTTGAATGGGAAATTTTGGAATTAAATTGTATATATAGTCAAATGTAAAAAGTGGGAGGCTGTGGGTAAATTGGAATGTTGGTCTTTGCTTTGAGGGAGGGGTTTGTATCTTGCCACGTTGGCGTTTTGCGGACATGGTTTTGCGGACCAATGAGATGCTTCGTTCGTGTATCTTACGCGAGCTTGCGCAGGCACCACTTGTGCACAAGGAAACTCTAATCATGGGAATTGGGGAGCGTTCACAACAAAATTACATTTGAATAAGGCTCTTGGACACATTTTATTAAGATCAAGTATAATGCATTGAAAGCATCGCTCATCTATCTTGCCATGAACAGCTTTCCTCTACCAAGGTGCGTGTGATATCAAGAAGGCGATCTATACTTAGAGCATTCCTAGTGCTAGGCTTAGTGTGGGCCGTAGCAGTTTACGCAGCGTAGGTTAACTGTCTTTGTCGCACGTCTCCACTCTTATGCAGTCTCTCTCTCTGTGGCTAAAACGCCTGCACCTGAAGTAGGCTACTAGCTTACGCCTTTCCTTGGATAGCAACACGACGATCCTGCCTCTGCTAAACGTTACGCCGTCTAACGTAAGCAGCTTCTCCGCGTCCTCTTTTGTCGCTACTTTAATTACTACTAATGCGTGCTGCCTGCTGGGCAGAGCCACCTTTTCGTGCACACCTCCACGCCGTTTTCCGTCCTGAAGCCCTCTATAGCCGACGGGCTCACTTTTCCCGTCTCTGGCTCTACAGCCAACGGCACTTCGATCCAGTCCGCCTTGACTGTGTGCCATTTGGGCCCGATTAGCCTCGCACCTGGGAGCTGCGGTTCGAGCCACTCGCTCGTCGTCTGCCGGAAGGCCGCTTCCTTGTCTTTGTCCACCGAGAGCTTGATCACGCTCGCGCCGCCGTCCGTGCGTGGCATGCCATCCAGCCAAGACTGTGGATGGCACGCCTACGACGATGGATGGCACACTCTTACCGTTATGTATATAACCAAATAGACAAGACGCCCTTGTGGATTCTTGTATTCACTTCAAGTTACAACCTACTCGTTAAACGTACAAACTTCTGCTAGTTATAAATGCTCGTTTGCTATTCATACACGAAACTCAACCCGAGATTTCTAAGACCTCAAGAATAAGACTCTAATGTATCTACTCGCTTAAAAACAAATTATAGGCCCCCCATAGTCCCTCATCAATTATGAGGGACTTTTATGAGGGACTATGGGGGGCCGAAATTTTGTTAGCTTACGAGAAGCTCGCCTTATTCTCTAGGCGTTGCGTAGTCTGACCCATAGTGGTACTGTGCCTGAAAGAAGATATCAAGGATTAGGAGCCAATTAGCAAAGAGTATTTTTGGTACAATAACGTCCGTAAGTATGCCTTACCACGCAGCTTACTCGAGATGATCCACTTGCCTAGTTGCAAACTGCATTAACCGGAACCTTTCCCTTTACTTACCTTTCCCTTTCCTTACTTTTACCTTTACTTACCTTTCCCTTTACTTATAGTGCAACCTTAGGCCTTCAGGCGTCGCCTGCCCACGGCTCTACACCATTTTCTTCTCCTCAGCCATTTTGCCTAGCACTTTTTCTCTCGCTCGCTTTGCTACTTTCTTCTTCCATATTTTTTCAATCCCAATAATGCGCTTCATCTTAGGCAGGCGCGCCACAATTATTGTTCCCACCTTCGTCTCTCTATTCATTATCATTATCATCACTGGCAGCTTCCACGAACCTACTTACAATGCCATCAGGAACAAGACCTTCGGCGCTACGCACATTGGAACCTATCAAAACCCAGCTCCTTCTTTGTTAAACTCCCACGGCGCTTCCGGCTTCGACAAGAACGGCAATGAAAAATTGGCCTACGTCATTCTACTATCAGGAACCGTCGATTCAACCCAAGGAGAAGACCTCGAGAACGACGTTTACTTCGTCGCTACCCGTATCTTAGTGTGGCAGCTGCTTCATGTGCCAGAGACACGTACCAAACACGACGTTATTGTTCTTGTAACCCCTACAGTCTCCCAGTCACGCCGCGACCGCCTAGAAAAGGATGGTGTCCAGGTACGGCTGGTTGAGTTTGTTGAAACTGCCGGTAGTCCCTGGATTAAGGGGGAAGCACGCCAGTTTGATGATTTAATGACAAAGTTCCGCGCGTGGCAGCTAACGGAGTACAACCGCGTGCTTTTGTTCGACAGCGACTCTATGGTCCGGAAGAATATGGACAAGATTTTTGATGAGCCCCTTGCACAGATCCAGAAATCGCTTACTGGTCGATTCCAACCCCTGGAGGGGCAGATGAAATGGCCCGATAAATACCTCTTCGCTGGAGGATCTGAAGTTTGGGATAGTAACCACAAATTCCCGCCTACCCACGACGGCGGTGGTCTTAAGTACAAGGGCAACATGAACGCTGGCTTGTAAGTTCCGACATACATCCCGCGTTTTGAATATAACAATTCTCCTGCAGCTCCTCAACCTGGTGGTTGGTCTGCCGTGCCATTGGGGAAAAGAGAGAAAGAAAGAGAGAAAGACCCCGCTAACATTATATCCTGCAGCATGCTCCTCCACCCTGACGAGAAAATGTTCGAGTACCTTGTTTCCTTTATCAACATCGAAAACTCGTTCGACCCTCAGTACATGGAGCAGAACCTCCTCAACAAAGCCTTTACATGGGAAGGCCCAATGCCATGGAAGGAGGTTGGGTATACGTGGAACATCCGTTATCCGACCGAGTACGACTTTGAACAAGGCCTTCCTAGTATGCACGAGAAGTGGTGGACCCAACCGTATATCTATGAAAACCAAAAGGTCAAGGACTGGCTTTTGGCACAGAGATGGGAGATGAAGGGCTGGTATGCGTGCCGAGACGACGCTGCAAACAAGACTTTATCGATCTAAGATGGATCCTTCTTCGAAATGATCCATTCAGATGAGAGCACGTTTTGGTGTTGATGGGGGGGTTTTTTTTTTTTTCGTTCTTGGCAAAGGCGTGTGGGTCGGACCCAGAACATTACGGATTCTTCGCCAGTGTACTTTCTCTCAGCGACACTGAGTTGTGCCTCACCGAGATTGGATACGCCTTGGATGAACTCCATGCCTATGGAGTCGTGTTCATGACGCGCTATGGCCCGGAAGATCACTACCTTGGCCATGCGGACTTTATCCCCATCTGGCAGGAACTCAATACGCGCAGAGCCGTTGTGTTTATTCATCCTACTTCTGCGGTCGGTGTTACCCAACTCAACAAGAGCCTCCCGCTGCCTATGATGGACTATCCCCACGAGTCAGCCCGCACAGCCATATACCTCATCCTTAGTGGCAGACTCCACTTGCACGCCTCCGATTGTCGCATTATCCTGATCTGTCGCGCACCTCAAGCCCCAAACGCCAACGCGTCGACACCGACGATGTGCTGCAGGGTATTTGTCTCGAGCATGTGGAGATTCCAGGAGTTGATGAATTCGCTTAGCTGAAGTAAAATCTGACGTCATTGGGGTGAAACTGTCCAGGAAAATGGGTGACTGGAGGGGGAAAAAAAACGTTGTGGAAGGTTGAGCAGCTTTTTTTCTGGTTTCTAACAACCACGGTAGGTTGACAAGCTTCGGTACCGCATCAAAATTCCCATCATCAACTCGGAAAATTCTCAGTAGTTGAACCGTGAATACAGAGCTCAGTTCTAACGGGTCCATCATGGCTCACATATCTGAATTCATAGTGCAAACTTTGCAAACACGTAAAAGCATGAATGCTGCCATTTTGCAAGTCAGATCCGCCCACGCAGATATCCAAGCACGAGATGTATCAAGATTGCCGGAATAAGGTCTAGTGATGGGCCCCGTGTACCTGCCCTCACAGATGCAACGCCCCTAAAATACGAGGCCGCCAAATAGAACAAATATTTGGACAAACATAAGACAAGAAAATGACGAAGGAAAGTATGGACCATAATCAACAAGAAGAACTCTGTGGGGCACAAGCTTGTAAAGCTGCTTCAGCACCGCTGCTTGGAGCTGCAGTTCCGTATGTCCCACGTCAGACATAAGAGATAAGCTGACCATATACAGCAAACCGTGAAATGAGTGACTGGATGCGTAATGTGAAAGAGAAAAAATACCTGCCGCGCTCTTTATCAATCTAAATATCCTCTTTGGTTCACAAACATTACACTCTACCGGCACGCTGCTCGGATTTACCTCCCTCAATATCCTTTTGCAGTGGTGGTATTTTGTATGAGAGGGTCGATATCTTTTTGAGCTATACCCCACCGAAGTTCATTGGCAATTTCATTCCAACCAACATTGCCCTCCACAGATAGTTGGTCTCGCCTCGATATCTGCTCCCATTCCCTCAGAAGCCAATTTTCATATTGGTTGGGTTCATCTTTAGAGAGGGACAGGGAGCCATTTCTTTTTCTGGTAAATGGCCTGTTTTTCACCAGGGAGTCTCGAGCATTGAGCACGTGAGCTGTGAAGTGGATTTTCAGCAGCCAGTCCTCCTGCGGCGTTTGCTGAGCCGTCCAGGTGAGGAGGTTATCACGCTTCCCGCTCCACAGTCCGAAGGTGAAGCAGTGCAGTATCAGCCACCATCGGACGCGGGACTCGTGAATGCGCCCTAATGAGGGTCAATAGGTTATTCATTGCCGACGCATTCCACGCATAGGATATATAGTTAAGCTTACCCTTTGAGGATGAGAGATCCTTGAGTTGCATTTCCCGCTGCGTCGAGGGCCAGAGGTCCTTCACTAGTGACCAAGTACCCCGAAACACTCCTTCATCCCTCCTCCAGCGTGGAGATTGAATTGGGGTGACAAATTGGAGCAACGCGCCTTCGTCAAACTCGGCGTTACAGGCTTCTTTGATTTTAGATATCATCCATAGAAGTGACACTGTAGAGAGCCCAGCATCGGGGTTCCCCCCCCCCAATATCTGAATGGCACCCGATAAAGGCACACTGCTTCACGATTGTTCCAGCTTTGGG